CTCTCGCCCCCTCTCCCCTTCCGCTGCTTGCAGGCTTTGCCTCCCTGCAGCAGGAGGGAGGGTTTGGCACACCCCCGCCCCCTCTCCCGCTTCCCCTACGACGAGACCCGCCCCTGCCAGAGTACCTCCTGATAGTCCGGCATTTCTGATAATCCGGCACCACCTGGGTCCCAAGGGTTCCGGATTATCGGAAGTCTACTGTAGCATATCATCCTTAAAGTAGCAGCCAAACCCAAAGATGTAGTCAGAAATTACAGCTGCATTTACATTATTTTATACATTGGAGCTGGAATTCAAGCAACGGTTCCTCTCTTAGAGCCTGATCCAAAGCCTGTTAGTGAAAAGATTTCCATTGACTTCGGTAAGCACAAAATCAGACCCTTAAGGATATGAAATACTTATCCAGACATATTTCAGTAAGACATCAAAAATATTAAACCTGTTTCAAGGTATCCTTCTTTGATCACTGCAGAGCTTCTGTTGTAATAAAACTCTTTTTTTAAAAACTCAATTTCATTACTGTGGTTGTAAATCAACTGGTATATATATTTTCCCTGCAGCCATTTGGTACAATAGCTATTCAGTTAGCACAGCACAGAAGAGCCAAAGTAATTTCTACTACATGTAGTCTTGAAGACAAGCAGTATTTGGAGAGACTTAGACCTCCTGTGGGTAAGTTAGATGTATTTTAACTGGGTTTTTTGGTTCACATCTGTTGTAGTGTTTGCTGTTTTCCAATACTTATCTAGCAAAAAAACACTTAATGCCTGGTTTTAGTCAGATTGTTTGGGCAGTCTCTTCACATGGTAAATAATGTTGTTCAAGAGTAGAGAGAAAATATCACCTGACTCAGACTAGATTCTGTGCTATTCTAACTTCTGTACCTGAAGTCTTTCTGACATTGCGTGCCTGAGGTACAGTATTTAGATGGGTAAAATCAGAATGGAAAAAAATTAATTAAATTTAGAATTGAAACAAACTATGGGGAATTAGTTTTAAGTTGTTACAGAAACAAGAGGGAGCTAAGTTTCATGGTACTGGTATAATTTCTTTGTCAGAAAATCAATGAATTTCCATAGTTTAGCAAACTAATCCTCCAGAAATTAGAGTCTTTCCATTGACTTCAGTGGGTTTTGGCTTAGACTCCAAATGCTTGTTCATATTTGACTTCTTCAGTTCCCAGTTTATTGTGACGTATACTAGGTTTTGTTGGATTAAAGAAGGGTTTCTCAACCTCCTTTTATAAAGTAACCCTTTTTAAATAAAAAAAAAAAAATTATAAGTACCCACAGTACTTTCAGTTTTCAGACACACAACAATGTTTTTACTATTGCAACATGTTTGTTTAAACAACTTAATCGTTGCCGGGCGGCAACGATGAAATTTTTGGGTGTAAAAAGTACAAAAATAATAAAGCGCCGTAAAACTTAAAACAAAAATTCAGTTTTCTCCAAATTTCAGTTGTGTTGACATACCCTCTAGACTTATCTCGAGTACACCTACAGGTACTCGTACCACTGGTTGAGAAACACTGGGTTAAGGTATTTGGACACTATTCCTGGGAGTCAGAAGATTATTTTTTGCTAGGGAGACAGGGAAAAATAGGTCTAATTTGTATATTTTAGATTTATTTTTTAAAAAGGCCATGTAAGAGCATAAAATCCTATGTTTTTTCTAAAACATGTAAATTGTTTATATCAAGAACAAACTTATCTTGATAAGTAGATATTAATATTTGATCTATATGTAGGAAGCGGTTTTAACAAATTATTGAACATATATGTGGACAAAATACAATAGCAAAGCACAGGAGTTGTATTAAACTGGTGGTGTCTAATATTTCAGAATAGAAACAGAATATGAACATAAGAAAAAGCACTGTATTTCTAGCAGGATACAGAAAGACCTAAAAAAGAAATGTGTATTTGTGATAATCAACTGCAAAGTTTATGTATATACATTCCCTGTAACAGCTGTCCTGTATGCTGATGTCATGAATGATATCATAGTTCTTTCTGAGCCATCTCAGTATAGTAGGAGTTTTGATACTGCAAACTTTCATACTCCATAATAGCAGGTGTTGGGTGTGGATAAACAGTGGTGCCAAGTCATGAAAAATGTTGCTATTACTCACTGCTCACCATTAAGTTAGGTGGAAGCTGGAGGAAAACACTAAAGACTTGTCTAAAGTATGTTGAAAATGTTAGAACCATATATGCTACTATACTATACTATATAGTGATTGTGCTGAATGTTTCTGTGAACTGTGGAGGTCCTTTTGATTTTGTAAAATGATTTATTACACAGATAACCCTTGTCTGCAGTGATTGAAAAATTGTTATTGCACCTTGCCAGCAAGAAGTGGGCTTAAACAAAGTTGTGTCTAACACATTTGAATTAGAAGTTGGAACACATTGGCCTGAAGTGCAAAATTCTAATAGTTCATTGAATATTTCATTACATGTTTTGTATATGAACAAAGTGGTTCAGAATAATAAGACCTTCACCTAACATTTTAACAGTTTACCAATAATCCTCTTTTTAAAAAAAGTTAAATAATTTTGAAATATATCTGGGTTACAGGATTTATACTTGTTTCTGTTTATACCATGTTGAATTGTGCTGTCAGTTATGGCATCATTTTGATAAATGAAAGAAATAGTAGGGTACCCAAGATGCAACTCCTGAAATAACTGATATTCTAGCAAAGTGGTTCTAAACTGGGGTACACATACCCCTGTGGGTACGTAGAGGTCTTCCCTTGGGTACATCATTTAATCTAAATAGTTGTCTAATCTTACAACAGTCTACCGTATTTTCCGGCGTATAAGGCTACTGGGCGTATAAGACAACCCCCTAATTTTTTAGTTAAAAGATAGGGTTTCATCTTATACCCCAGCGCCCCTCCGCCTCCCTGGCTTTGCTCCCGGTGTCCCTGGTCTGCTGGAGACGGTCCCCAGCAGACCAGAGGCACCGGGAGCAAAGC